TGGGGAGAGAAAACATTATATCTCACATAGTAGAAGTTCACCGACCAGGATATGCACTTTTAGGGGCAACGGGTTACACTTTCTACGGCTAATTTTCCACAGCGTGTATAGGGAGCAGTTGAGCTAACCGTACGTTAATCATGCGACTGACAGTTCGACCTTCGATTTCGACGATGTCCACCACGGCTTCAGCGGGACCCGGTTGTCAAGACGAAGTAAATAGGACCGGAGATGGAGGAGGGCGCAGATGGCTGGCGCAACCAACAGTCAACACACATACCAACAGCATGTCTCGCTAGGTAGGCTCCCGACTGGGACCACCATAAAGGTCACATTAAGGAGTCATTGAGCCGAACTAAGACACTAAGACACGCACTGGACTGACTGTGGCGTCCGAGTTATCCCGTCAGTTAACAAGTCTTCAACCCTCCACAGCTTTTAGCGCACCGTGACAGTTCCAAGCGCATCAGATTGTTTTTAATGTGGAAAGAAATGCGCTGAGGGTTGACCTCACTCTCTTCCCCACCGCCAGCAAAAGGCCACCGCCTAGCTGATCGGTTGCCTGTCTCAGACAATCCCTGATGGGCCACTGGGAAGCTGGCCAGAATTTTAAATGCGCGAGTGGACAAAACGCAAATTAGTGAGAATGAGTGTAATTCTGAAATATAGGAGAATCTTACTCTTTTTGAAACTGCATGGACCCAAGAAGCCTAAGAGAGAGAAATGGCCTTTATAAAAAAACTCTTATGCGTTCATCTCCTTAATAGTATGTGTAACTCAAATTTTACTTTGGTTTGGACAATGAGAGGTGGACCAAATCATGTCAAGAACTCGCAGTGTATCATCACGACCTGTGCCGTCGCTACTGGTGAGAGGCAGCGTCCGCTTAGAGGGGTCTGAGATAATGGCTGCCCTGGTGTGACACTTAACATTTTATATTAGTGAGTCACACTTTTGGCCACAAACTTCAAAAAAACCAAAAAGGCAGACAAAAGAGATATTGCATTACATTATACTACTCGTGATACGCGCAACATTTAATTGACGTACTTTTTCAATGTTTCTTTGTATCCGTATGCCTCCTATTATCTTGGTACAAATAGGGAGTTCAAAGGCGTTCGCCTATCTTTCCCTCAATAAACCGATACTGATTCTATCGCTCTAGCCTGTCCGTTGTGCACCTCTTTACCGTAAAATTTGGCGGACAACAACTCAAGAATAGCAATGCTCTCATCAGGAGATACCAAAAGGATTAGACTGTACCTGATAGCCCGTAAGACAGGGGGTAGGGGGGAGTGATTAATGCCCTTAAACCGCAGTATCGAGACTCCGAATGTAGGGTCATATATGTGAAGTTCGCAGTGGACGACGCCTGCGGGCAGATTGTCAAATCACCAGACTGAAGTGAAAGTTGTTGTTGGGGATAACACTACGTTCAGATGTCATTCAGTGCTTGAAATACACCAAAGGCAAACCCTACATTAGCCATCATCTTCGTCAGCCAAAGCTGTAATCGTAACTAAGTGAAACTGGGATCACATTCGAGGTCACAGAGCCTTAACCCACCATTCTGTCCTCACTGGCCGTTTGAGCAAATAAAAGCTATTCCTACTTAAATATATTAAGTAGGCATTTAAGTAATTGTAAAAGCATACACTACCATTGGTACTTCTGTCAAAAGAAGTTACTATGATGTAGCACGCCAGCCCCTATCGAGGAAGTATAGTCCATGCGGAAGCTCGCTGCCAACCAATGTCTAAAATTTGGAAAAACCAGGTCTCGCAAAGCCCACCGCGGTGTACTCACCAGTTGCCCTGATCAAGCCACTGTCTCAACAGTTCAATTGGCGGCTGAGCACCGTACACCTCCCTGACTGGCATGTTTACGTCATCCACAAAGCAGATCATCCGCTTTCCTACCGGAGGCCCGAAAACGCCCTTTCGCCGTCTGTCCAACTTGCTCATGATCATGTTCTGGGTTTGGTTGGCACTGGTCTGTGCCGAGAAGTTGATAACATTCGGTTTGTAGATGTTATTATCCAAGGTGTGCAGGAGGAAGTCCTGAAAGAAAGCAAAAGAAAATATACCTTTAGACTTCCTTATTGGGAAGGAATCACATTCCGAAGGGTTACCAGTGTGGACTTTTACTGAAAGTTGGAAGAAAAAGGCTGTGAGATCGTCTAAATCCCCTCTTTCGATATCTTACTCGGGTACATCGTCAGAAATAAAGGCGGCAGTGAAGTTTGAAATCAATAGGGCTATTGCACTGAAACAAGTCGAAAACCTGTGTAGGAAAATCAAAATCAATTTCTACTTAAATGTACCTAGTAGGCATTTAAGTATTTGTAAAAGACATCACTACTTCTGCCAAAAGGAGTTACCATGATGTAGCACGATTTTCCTGTCCCCGTGGGTCCGACAAACAGGCAGGCCTTTCGGTGCTTCACCAGTAGGTCCAGGAGATGCAGGGTACGGACAGTTTCGGTAGTTGGAACAATGATTTCGTTGAAGGTTGCATCCTTCGGTAGGGGTGGGCATGCGCGCACAATGTCCATCCACACTCTCCATCGAACGGGGTACTTTAATTCCACGAAAAAGAACAGAGAATAGGCAAAAGAATCATCCTCAGATTGCTATTCATAGGTCTTATAATTGACCCTGAAAGTCATGAAGAAAATCAAATTGCAGATTTGGCAGGGATCTAATATGCAAGTCCACTGAGTTAATAGAGCACAAATAGTCCCGTAAAACGGTAATGATGATGATGATGGTGATGATGATGATGATATTCATTTAATCGGCAAAGAAGAAGGTTAGAGCAAAGGTTTGTTTGATTACTCTAATAAGGCACTTGAACAGAGGCGCAGCATGAAATATGCAAATATGCCGAGCGTTTGGCGCCATGTTGTATGATCAGAAAGCGCA